ATTTATGATTACATCAATGTAGGGCATTGCTCATGTAGAAACTCCCTCCACTTATACACATCAGCAACTAATCTAATTTTAACTAATTTCCAGCGAAGTTAATCTGAGTAGTAGATTTACATTGAACAGATGTAAGTTAGGGCACTGCGATGTTACATGACTTGCCCATGATCATACAGTCAGGATACATCAGAGGCAGGATTCAAACACATGTCTTCTGAATTCAAATTTTGCTTCATTATCCATTAACCCATTCCCTTCTTCACTCCTCTTTTATGTTTTGATCATTAAGTATGATACATTAGATTAAAGCTCTGGTCTCTTTAAGGCATATATTTGAGATCCACTGCTACCCATAAGGTTGTCTCTTTACAGTGGAACTTCTTGTAGCTAGTAATCTGTGTGGTCCCACTTCAAATTGTTGTGGAACATGAATGAATGAATGAATGAATGATAAAGCATTTTTTAAAGCATTTACTATGTGCCAAGCATGTGCAGCTAGGTGGCACAGTGGATAGAGGGCCAAGCCTGAAGTCAGGAAGACTCATCTTCCTGAGTTCACATCTGGCCTCAGACCCTTCCTGTGTGACCTTGGGCAAGTCACTTAACCCTGTTTGCCTCAGTTTTCTCATCTGTAAAATGAGCTGGAGAAGGAAATAGCAAACCACTCTAGTATCTTTGCCAAGAAAACCCCAAATGGTCACAAAGATGTGGACATGACTGAAAAATGACTGAACAACAAAAAAATGAAGTTAAGTTCCCACCTGGGCCAATTAACTTTGTTAAATGGTCCCAGACTCCTACTTTTACTTTAAGCCTGGCTAGGAAATGCATGGCTTTGGCCACAAAGAGAACTGGGTAAGAAAGTATAGATTGTTCAATGGAAATCTATTCCCTACTCTCAAAAAATCACTCCACTTATGGAGGGTCAGTGATTTATATTTGATCATGGAAAACATCCCATATATAGTATGTAATCAATGAGTACATTACTTTCAGTGTTCTCATTTTTTTCGCAATCCAAGAGGTTAATTCATTTTGCTTATTTTTAGGAATAATGATAGTAGCTGGTATTTATATACTGCTTTAAGGTTTGCAAAGCACATTACATATGTTTTCCTCATTTGATCCTCATGACACCTCTGAGGTAAGTGCTATTATCAGTCCCATTTTACAGGCTAGCAAACAGAGGTTAAGTGACTTGCCTAGGGTCACTCAGCTATTAAATGTCTGAAGCAATATTTCAATTTGGGTCTTTCTCACTCTAAGTGCTCTACCCATTATGCCACCTAGTATAAGATAAGTGACTCCCTGACATGGTATTTCCCTAGGTACTACTTTTTTTCCAGGAAGTTGACTGAGAGACTCTCACGGTTCTAGTAGTTCTGTTCATCACCTGCCCCAGGCCAAAGGCTGAGGGAGTACCTAAAATGTTAGAAATTATAGTACAGTGCTATAAGGACAGGTGTCAGCCAAGGCCTGGGAGTGGAAATAGATCGCACTAGCAAGAAAAAACAGTGCCTCAGAAGCAGGGGCTAGAGAAGGTGTTAGCTCTAGAGGGTATCCAGGAGAAATTGTTTAGTGCTTAGTTAGTCAACTAAGAGTTTGCACCCCAACATTCCCCACAGTGTAAAGATCAATTATATCCTTGAATCTACACTGAGTGTGCTGAGCAGCAACGGATACTGTTGGGGCAAAGGACTGGTAGGGAAGATAAACAGGGTCAAGGCAGTGAGTCCTAGGAGCACAGAAAGGGGTTCTTTTCAACACACACACACACACACACACACACACACACACTGTTTGTTAGCGATAAAAAATTGCCGCAGGCAAGCAGCACTGACTGAAAGAGCCTTCTCTAGAGGAAAGGAAGCCCTGATTTTTCATACTGTATTTATGCTTAGAATTGACATAGGGTAAATTCCCCAGTGATAACTCCACTCTGCCTTTCCAGACTGCCTTCTCCAAGTCTACTTTCTACTTCTTCTCACCTTAAACTACTCAGACACTAAAGTCACTAATGGAATAAGAAACATAGAAGCACTGGTCCCTGCCACTGAACAGATGAGTGCTCATGTGGCTTCATGAATCGGGGGTACATTAACACACATTTGCCTGTCCTCCTCTCCCTGTGCCTTCAGAGGCTAGCCCTGGACCAGAAGTCAGACGACTTGACTCTAGTTCTGAACGTCACCATTTACCATTTGTTTGATCTTGAACCTTACTTTATCTGTAAAATGTATATATAAGCTCTATCTACCTTCACAGGGTGGTTGTGAAGATCAAAAGAGAAAATGGATGCTTTGAAGTTGCAAAGCACTTAGCATATGCTTCCTCATATATCCTCATTTTAAAGATGAGGAAAGTGAGGCTGAGACAGGTTAAGTAACTTGTCCAGGGTCACACAGCTAGGAAGTGTCTGAGGCCGAATTTGAACTCAGGTCTTTCTCACTCCAAGTATTCTATCAACCATGAAGATAAAGGACTCCCTAACATAGTGTTTCCCTATGTGCCTCTTTTTTCAGGATTATGTGCAAATGACAGGTGATAGCCAAATCAGGGTGATGAACTTGGAGTTAGGAAGACCTGAGTTCAAATCCAGCCTCTGACCCTTACCAACTGTGTGACCTTGGGCAAGTCTAGTCTCTTAAAGCCTCTGGTAACTCCTTCAGATCTATGTACTAACTCTTGGGATGGGTTGGGGGAAGGAGCCAAATCCTTCTAGTGTCTGTTTTCTTATGTTAATCAGTACCATACATACAGAGGATAAACAGGCATTTGAAGCTGCTACTTCTGATAATGCTAAGTCTCATACTTTAAAGAAGATCAGTATAATAAATAGGGAGATCTACTCTAAGAAAAAGCTTTTTAAAATGAATCCCATATGGTTAACGTCCAATTTAAGAATGAGCATCACGACAGCTTGTCCTTACATGATATTTTTAGGTTTTCGGGGCCATTTTATAGATGAGATTCAGAAAAGTGAGTGGCTTGCCCAGGGCCACACAACTAAGATGAGTCAGAGTTGGGACTTGAGCCCTGGGTTTTTTGACTCTCAACAGATCCATTCTCTGCATTGTCAGGCTCAACTGATGCCTGGGGTTAGCTTTCCTGAACTACTTTCTCCTTCTCCTTGCTCTTTCTTTCGGATTCTTTGTTAGAAGCAAAATCTCTACATAGGGGAAGAAGGACGAATATATTAGAAGTGAAAGTGATCTCTATAATTGATGTCAAATTGCTTGCCTTTTCAAGGAAGGGGAAAAAAGAAAATTTGGAACTAAAATTTTAAAAAAATGAACATTAAAAAATTTTACATGTAATTGGGAAATATTTAATGAAATAAATAAAATATATTGGAAAAATGAAGGCTACATAAAAACAAAAAACAGCAATAAAAATTAATTTTTTTGAAAGACCCGGGCTCTTTCTTCTACAATCCAACATCTGCCTATCAACTGTCTCATTTCTTCTTCTTCTTCTTCTTAATTTCCAAGCATATCTCCTAGTCGGCATGTTCTTAGGAAGAAGAAGAATGTTCTAGAACCACATTCAAATAATCAACGCCAGGGTGTGAGGGAGGGATATAGACAAAACGCAGACATAAACCCTATTCTGAGGCACATTCAATTGTCTACGAGAAGGTCAATTTGGCATTCTGTGGGCGAGAGCCAAGTGTGGTTGAGAGGAGCACACTTCAAAGGACAGCGTTCAGTTCTTCCCTGAAAGTGCTTTCTTGTATGTTGTGGGAGTTTTCAGCCTAAAGTTAAGCCATGTCTCTGATGACAATATGTGAAAGGGATCACTCCTCACTTCTGGAGGGGCTCACTATTTGGCTATAGCAGTGGCAGGTTATCTTCAACGTCATGGCTCTACCCACATCATTCAACCCTTAGTTTCATTAGAAACTCCAAGAAGTGAAAGCTTTACCTAGGGATAGGAATGTGGAATGTTTTGGGGGTTTTGAGTGAGTGCATTTTTTCCCAACTTGACCTGAAGGCAGGGTCATGTGATTTTGTCCAGGACTAGCATCCTTTAATCTCCTCTAGAAACTCTCAGAAAGACACACGTAGAGCTACGGGAGATGGGCTTATAAAGCAACCAAACTGCTAGTACAAATCTGCATGCAACAAGAACTTGGTCTCACTACTTTGTAGGCATGCTTTTGTGAGCGCCCACACGCACAGGTATAGACACCTATGTGTGAGCATTTAGCCTGGTACCACTTCGGATCCTACGCTGCTAGCGCATCGTATCGCATCAGGGTAACTTGCTCCCTCTTGGGTAAATGAGAACTAGGAAATCTTGGAAACCCAGATCTTTAGCCTCTAAATATGTGTAGCTCATCAAGCTCACCAGGCTTCTCAGGAGTATCTGACTTGTGGCCTGGCTTCCAAGTAGTCTAATCAGTTAGATTCTTAGAGCTCTCTACGGAAAGGAAATAGCACAACCCAATTCCATCCTTCACACTGGTATCTATGAACCACTCTGGCCAGAACTCCACCGGGGGAATTCCTTCTCAGACAAGACTACAGACACCACTCATTGATGAAGTGTCTTTTGCCTCCCTTTTCTAATCATAATCTTTTCAGAGAAAGGCTCACTTTTTCCTCAGTAGAAACCCGGCTGAGGAATGAGAAGGAGCCAGCATTGCCTTATTTACAAGAAAACCCCGAAGCATTTCAGTGGCCTTCAGTCTTTTCATTTTTTCTGTGGTTGTTGCCCTCTGCTGTGACACCAGACCTTCAGACCCACATGAAGAGCCTTCCAGCCCAGTGTCTTGCAGATCCCAGAGTCATGGATAGTGGGGGTTCTGCAGGATTCCCATTCCCTAATACGCGTGTTATAGGAACCCAATGAGTTCAGATGGAGTTAGTTAAGACTTCCCTTTCCAGCTTTCAGAGCTGTGGCCCCAGGTCTCCAACCTCCTGGCCTCACAAGCCTTCCCCTTCAGCTTCTCCAACCCCTGCAAAGTCATCCAGGCTTAGGGAGAAGATACTCACGGCTCCAGGTGGCCCAGGCAACTCCCCAGGGTTCATCCTCTCCAAAGGGGGCTGCTCTCCCAAGACCTCGGTGCTCTCCTAGAGAGCAGAGAAAGCAAAGGGCTGCCGCATCTCTCTCAGGCATCAGATTAATTTAGCACTTGCGGAAGGAACTGACGGAAACTGAAGTCACATGGAAACTGAGGGTGAGCAGCAAAAGATTCAGCATTTACAACGACTTGAGGCTTGCACACTGCAGGAAAGAAGGAACTGGTGGTGGGGGGAGGGGAGAAGCACAGGCAGAGGTCAAAGCTGAGAAATGACCGGACTGGACATACCATTGGTTCTGTGCCTTTATTTGGCAAGGAGTTGATGCATTTGACAACCTTCCAGCAATGAATACAGACTAGAGCTTCACTCCAAAGTATCTCTACTTATAATCTGGGAGACCTTGGACAAAAGGAGATACCTCTTTGAGCCTCAGTTTCCCCAACTACAAAATGACGGAGTTGGGCTCAGTGACCTTTAAGATCCCTTCTAGCTCTGGGTCATGTCATCTCTCTAGACAGGGCTTCTGTAGTAATACTCCCAGTGCCTTCCTGCTATCCCTGAGTCCAGTTTTACCTGAAAGGTCCATTTAAAGGGGAAAAAAATAACCTGAGCCTTATGTAGAGGATCTCCTGAATGGGCTGGACACAGTTCTTTAATCATTCAATAAATATTGATGAGGCACATTGGCCTTGCAAAGTACACAGGACTCCAGTAAAGGTACAAAGTTTAGATAAGATACAGCTTTTGCCCTAACAGAACTCAAGAATCACAGATAACTACAATACTCAGGTTTCAAGCCTAGGGTATTTTGATAGCTGCTGCTTAGGCCTTCTGTAAAATTGAATGAGAGAATTTTGATGCAAAGGTGCTTACCTGCGTGAGGAGTGTTGGCATGAAGGCTTGGGAAGGAAAAAACATTCTTTTTCCCTCTCCAAGAAAGAAGACGTGTTATTCCAGACTCTCTTGAGGACCAACTCCAGGCATATGAAGAAGAGAGAGGCAGATTTTGTTAGTGATAGATATGTAGGGGAAACCAGTTCTCTGGAAATCTCTGATTTCTAACTTACCATCCTAGAGTCTTTAGGCAATTTCTCCATGAAACTGGGGATACAACACAATTTTACATGCTGGGTGCTTTACAGTTGCAAACCAAAGCATTATGTGAAGTCTAAGGAAGGAGATTGTTGACCACAAGAAGAATCAGAAAAGGTTACATGGAGGAGGAGTGATTTGAGCTGGGTTTTAAATGAGTAGTAGGAGTTCAACAGGCAAAGAGGGGGAAGGGCAAGATTCTGGTCTTGGGCACAAATATGGAAGATAAGTGAACCTAGGTCATGTTCAGGGGCCAGAAAATAGTCCAGTTTGGATGACACTAGAGAATATGGAGAGCAGCAAAATAACCCTGGAAATGTAGGGCTCTGCCCAAATGACGGAGTTGATTGAACAGTGAGCTCCTGGTACAGGTTCAACTGACAGAAAGAGACTTTGGTTCATTCATTCATTCATTCATTCATTCAAGGAGTGACTATTATGTGTCAGGTGCTATGGGGGACATAAAGAAGTAGGAAGGGTGATTCCTATTTTCAAGGTACTTATAATCTATCTGAAAAGCAAGACAAGAATACATAAACAGTTTTAAATAAGAATCTAGAACAATAATACAAGAGATGTCATGAGGCAAGTTTCTTAACTTGCCTTTAATGATTTCATCCTTTAAAAGATGGAGGAACCAACATGGGGAATTTTACTCTGCATCTGATTCTCACCAACAAGGAGGAACTGGTGGCTAGGTGGGGAACGATGATGGGAACCTTTGAGGGTAGGGACCAGTCCATCTTAGAATGTATGATACAGATAGAGGGGCAAGTTGGAAATAGTCTGATCTACGCTCAGCCCTGTGCTATTTTTATCAATGACTTATGTAAAGGCATAGATGGTACAGTCATCACATTTGCAGAGGAAATAAGACTGGGAGAAGCAGCGAATATACTGATGATTGAATCAGCTCTTGACAGTCTAGGGCACTTGGATGTAATCAATAAGATCAAAGGCAGTAGGAATAAAAGTAAAGTCTTACACCCGAGTTCAAAAAATCAACTGCAATAGTACATTGTGGGAAAGTCATATATACACACATATACACATATATATGTGTGTATATACATACCTATACACATATAGACACATGTATATGCAAATAAATATATAATATTGTGATATGAGATGTATATTTGAGATATCTGTGTATAATACATATATACATGTACATGTGTATGTGTGTATGTATGTGTATATATGTACATGTATATATTTATCTGGGAAAATAAACCTGAGGATTTTAGTGGACTGTCATATCAATGAGTCAGCAGTGTAACATGGAAGCCAAAAATGCTAATGAGATCTTGAGCTACATTAAGAGAAACACAGCTTCCAGGAATAAGAAAATAATGGTCCTTTTATACTCTGCCCTGGTCAGAACAAATCTGAAGTATTGTGCTCAGTTCGATGCTCCACAGCTTAAGAAAGACATTGATAAAAATTGAGAGGATCCAGAGGATGGCAACCAGTATGGAGAAAGAGTGAGACCATGTCATATGAGGATTACATGAAGGGACCAGGAATGTTTCAGTTGGAAAAGACACAAAGAGGACATACTGTCTTCAAGGACTTGAAGAGCCATTGTGGGAAAGACAGATTAGGCTCGTTCTATTTAGTCCCAGAAGGAAAACCAGGAGCAATGAGGTGGAAATAGAAAAGAGTTAAATTTAGCCTTGAAGTTGGAGAAAACTTCCCCATAATTAGAACTGTCCATAAGTGGAAGGGGCTGCTTCAGCAGGCAGTGAGTTCTCCCTCACAGAAAGTCTTCAAGCAGAGTCTGGATGACCAGTTTAAAAATAGCACGTCCTGATGTATAATAAATAAATTTCTGTTGATTGACTGGTATTACTGGGGATTCTTTTCATCTATGGATTAGACTACGTGGCCACTAAGGTTCCTTCCAATGCTAAAATTCGATGATTCCATGACTTTCAGGAATGTAATTCTGAAGACAGAAAGAGAAGCAGTTACAAAGAGGAGGAAAATGGAGGAGTTGTCTAAAGAGATGACTGTGGATACACAGGGAACTACCAAATTCTGCTCATATCTTGCTTGACTCAACACAACTATTTCTTAGGCATATGCTTCTTGTGCAAGGCACTAGAGTAAGCACTGAAGATACAAAGATAAAAATGAAATGGTCACCACCCTTAAGGACCTTGTATTTCTGAAAGTAACATAGAGAGAAAAAAGTTAATACTACTACTACTACTACTACTACTACTACTAATAATAATAATAATAATAATAATAATAATAATAATAATAATAATAATAGCTAACATTTATACACAGCTAGGTGGCACCATAGTACACAGAGTACTGGGCCTAAAGTCAAGAAGACTCCTCTTCCTAAGTTCAAATCCAGCCTCAGACACTTACTAGCTGTGTAACCCTGGGCAAATCACTTAACCTTGTTTGCCTCAGTTTCTTCATCTTTAAATTAGCTGGGAAAAGGAAATGGCAAATCACTCCATTATATTTGCCAAAACCCCAAATGGGGTCACAAAGTGTCTGACACAACTGAAAAATGACTTAACAACAACAAAACATTTATATAGTACTTACTATACATAGCAGGCACTGTGCTAAGTACAATTATTATCTCATTTGATTCTCACAACAACCTTAGCAGGTAGGTGCTATTATCATCCCCATTTTACAGATGAGGAAATGGAGACAAACAGAGGTTAAAGTGACTTGCCCAGGGTCACACAGCTAGTAAGTATCTAAGGCTAGATTTGAACTCAGGTCCTCCAAGCCTGTGCTCTATCTATCTTGCCACCCAACAGCTTATACTGCCATATATATGCGTGTGTGTGCATTTTTGTATGTATGTATATACACACATACACATATGTATATATATATATACACACACATGCATTTTACATATACATACACATATACATACATCTTTCAAATAACCTTGAATGGCCTAGCAGGGGTGGGAAACCTGCGTTCTCGAGGACACATGTGGCCCTTTGATTGAATCTAAACTTCACAGAATAGATGACTTTGGGATTCAGTCAAAGGGCTGCACTTGAGGACCTAGAGGGCCACATGTGGCCTTGAGGCCACAGGTTCCCCACCCCTGACTTAGAAGGTTCATTCACCTGGGATGTAGAATATATCAAGGAAAGTAATATGAAATAATTAAATAATTCTGAAAATGTAGTTTAAAGCCAGATTAAAGAGGGCTTTAAACGCCAAAGTAAGGAGTTGTTTTTTAATATATTTGGTCCTAGACACAATAGGGAACTACTGACTATTTTTGATGAAGGCAGAGAAATAAATTGGTCAGACCTTTGTCTTGGGAAAGTTACTTTGGCAGCTGTGTGGAGAATGTGTTGGGAGAAAGACTAGAAGCAGAGGGATCAGTTAGAAGGTTATTAAATGGTCCAAGTAAGGAGTGATAGGGACTTGGGCATGGCATTTGCCCTTTTGAATTAAAGTGAATTTGTGTTTCCTCTTAAAATTCCTTCTCTTTATTTGCTTTGCCTTGGGCTCCAGGAAGGTACTTTCCTAGAGATCTCAAGTCTTTCCTATGCCTTCTGGAATCAGGTGACTATTGAAGTAGCATCTGCCAGCCTCGCTCATCCTAGTCACCAGCACATGACCAGGGGATTTCCTTTGGGGTTGATTGGGAATGCGTTCTCTTTTGCACATCAACTAGTTGCTAGGCCAGGGGTGGCAAGTAGTTTCATTTCCCTCATCTAGAGTGTAGTTTTAAGAACTAAAAATCAAAAGGGGAAAGAAGGGAGGCCACTACCCATCTCAGCACCACTTCCTCCCTCAGGATGCTAGGATTGGAAAGAGCTTGGAGGCCAATTGATGGAGAAGGCTAGGTATAGGGAAGCTCCCTAGATGCGGTTGCCTTAGCTCCTGAAAATTCTTGGCAAATATGATGAAAGATCTCTGACTCCCAATCTTATCCTATTTAGCTGTGCGATATAGCAGGGAATTAGGTGGCACAGTGGATAGAACACCAAGTCTGGAGTCAGGAAGACTCATCTTTCTGAGTTCAAATCCAGCCTCAGACACTCACTAG